CCCCGTAATTATCAATAATGTCCTCCCACGGCTTATTCGGCACGACCTTCCGTTCATTTCATTGGCCCTCTACACGCTATTCGGCTATATGATGCGCTTCAGGAACAAAGGAACGACCAGTTTTGCTCTGCTATTTTATTTTTCATAGAGACGCAGCCTTTCCCCTCTTCTCTCAGTGAGCAACAAAAGTCGGCATGGCTAGCAATTGCCGAGAAAAGCGTGAAATGGAACAACGGATGCGTCCGTTACGTAGATCGACAGTCGGACACTAACCCATTCCGCTTCGAACGCCTACTTGTGCCAGACAAATTGAAGGAGCCCATTTTTTGGCATTCCATTCTAGTCCTTCTTCGGGCGGTCACTTCGATTGGAAGAAAACACTAGCAAAAATATCACGCAAGTAATTTTGGCCGAAGATGTTTTCACGCTGGTACGCGCTTGTGAAGAATGCCAACGCAAAAGACCTAATGCAGCTCACCGTGAAGCGCTTATACCCGTTGTAAGCGGAGCAATATTTGATAAAGTTTATGTCGATCTCACTGTCCCGCTCCACACGTCCGAATCGGGTAATAAGTACACTCTCGCAATGATTGACCACTTTTCTAAATATGTTATTGCCACCCCTTTACCCGATTGTACGGAGATTACGGTAGCGCAAGCCATTGTTTCTGAATGTATATTGAAGTTTGGCGTAATGACTCAGCTCGTCTCGGGTAGTGCTTCCTATTTTAAAGGCGAGGTAATGTCAGATATAGGACGTTTTCTCCGCATTCACAGGTACTATTGTACTCCCTACCACCACGAGGGTAACGGTGCTTGCGAGCGTATCTTTGCTACTTTCCACCCTATGCTCCACACCCACATCAATGAAAACCAACTCGACTGGGATAAATACGTTGTGCCTGCGCGTTTATGTGTAACACCTCTATACTTGGTAGCACTAACAATACTCCCCTCTTTCTTATGTTTGGACGTGACCCAGTCTTTAATATTGGTCTCCTTATACAGCATGTTTCTGAGCGTCACATTCCAGCGGATGATTCAGGATTTTCCGTGCAAAATCTTGTTATTACCCTGCTTGGCGTGCAGCAATATCTCACAATGAACGGCAAAGAGCTAAATTTAAAGCACAGTACGACCGTTCTCATTTGTCTCCTCTTTCCATCAAGGAAGGCGACCCTGTTTATCTCCGCGTCTCGACAGGTCTCGATGTACTTCGATTTAACCTGTTGGTCAGACTCAACGATTATATATTTATACATATATATAACGCACTTTCTCAGAATCTGTTTCTTCTTTTCAAACGTCTTTTCCCATGTCCGCCTCACAGTATCGTTTCTTTTTTACGTTCGCAGCTTGTCGATCACCCATCTTCAAATGCCATAGCCGACGCAGCCTCCTTTCCGAAATGCCACGCCCCCTATCGACCATTGATTTACTCCATCATCGCCGGCCTTACACGTAATCTTCTCCTGACTTCTTTTTTCTTTTTTTCAACCTTTCGCTCGCCTTACGTTTTACGAATATAATTACATAGCCACCTCGTCTCTATACTTTTAATTTCATTTTTCGCTTGGTCTTCGTGGCGTCGTATAGCTGCACCTTTTCTTTCAAATATCTACATATCATTACGCACATTACATATTGCTCTACCTATTATATGCAAATATATTATATCTACATTTGCACATACATTGCTCTTTCCTCTTCCATATATGTAGTTAACAAACCAATCTTTCTTTTATGTTGAAGACTTTCAATACATTACTCTCTTTTCAGGTGATTATTTTTGTTCTGTGCTTTCTTTCTGTGCGATCGTGATCGATATTTTCGTTCGCTCTGGAGGAAACATCTCTTCCTCCCGATCCGGATCCAGGCACGAATCCGGTACCTCATTTTTCTTCTTCTACTACTACTTCCGTAGATTCTATTGCTACTTGTCAATGTCGCGTTGCGGCTGAAAGGACGATTATTTTTTGTGCTTCCTCTGATGCTCCTCAGTCCTCTCAGAACGAAAGCATCACTGTCCCTGCTGATTCCACCTTGGAGTCCAAGCAGTTGAAAAGTTCTCCAGTATCTATTTCAGAAGATGTCCCGATGCATGACGTATCTGAACCTCCCGAAGCATTTCCGATGATCTCTCGACGCTCCTCTGCATCCGTGGCGTCTTCAAGTCTTGACTCCATGCGTGGTATGACGGCATCAATGTCTAAATTGTCGATGATACAGCCATCTGCACAAATTGCGCCCGCTCTTGAGCCCCCACAAACCCCTCCAGCCACGGTGAAGCGAGCCGCTCCGGCCAGTCACCAGTCACCCCCCGGGGATCTTCTGACCCGAGGCGCGCGTGGCGCGCCCCAACATTCCCGCGGTTCGCGAGTCTCATCGCGAGGTCGAAACCATGAAAATGGTTTCCTCGTCTTCCAACGCAGCTTCCAGCACTCCGTCATCGTCTTCTTCGCGAGGCACTTCTTCGCGGGGTGCTTCTGCTTCTCTCCGTGGACGTGGAGCCAAAAAAGCTCGCCACTATCCCCCAGGACCCCTTTCCTAAGTGGACACGTCTCAGCTGCCCCAAGTAACTCCTCCTGAGTTTTCTCACTACCTTATGGAGCTGCACCCCTGGGCAAAATACGTCAACCCCTGTCCAATTCGTCTAGTCCGTAAGGATTGCCCGCCGGTAACTTCCGTCTTGGATGTCGACGTTTACCGTCATTTACCGGACTCGGGTTACATGTCGACACGGTTCAACAGGTCGCTTTTCCTGAAGGCAGTCCTCCGCCCAGATAAGATGCCGGCGACAATCCCATTTATTGAGCTGCAGCACCTGGAGGACACTATTTCTTAATTTCCGGGCCAAATCAAAAATAGTAATAGACCAAGTTTTACTCTGCTCCTATAGCGACGTCAATACGGCCCACATCAAGCCTTCCCCATACCAGAAATCTGACACTAAACATCCTCCAATCGGCAGTACCTATCCGGTCCTCTACCAAGTCGTTTCCTCCGGGGGGATGGCCCGGGCGTAATCTTGGAGGCCAAGGACTTCTTGATTGTTGGTCCGGACCGTCGCGACCTACATTGCATAGTCCTAGAACAGTACACCGTTGACATCGTTACGGGCGGTCGCGGCTTTAACAGGAACCATATGTCCATTAAGGACTTCGTATGGCTGTATAATGTAAGGCCGACGCGACAAGCATTGCAGTCTCCGGCATCGGTTCCTAAGCAGGCCTCATTACCGCAGACTATGGCCCTCGACACTTCATCGGTTTTCTTTTTCAGGGTATCTCACTTCGCTCCGGTGAACGATCTCCCTGACGGCGTCATCTTGTCGCGGACTATCCGTGGTGACCGAGTTATTCACGCTCGGGCAGTATTTGAAGGATGCCCCGAAGCGGCCACTCGACCCCTTCTACCTGTACCTTCCCACTTCACCGCCTCGCTACCTACGAGGTCGTAAGTGCACGATCGCGGGTGAACGTTTCGGATGCGGTTTTGCGAACCTCCCGCGTCCTTTGAATCGCGAGCTCAGTTAGCTGAGCTTGTGCGTTCATTCCCACCGATGCATCCTGATAAAGGCATATCTCCTCTAGCAGTCTTCAAGCTTCCCCAGNACGATAAGCAAACTGGCAGAGTCCTCGCCACTATACTCACCCCTGTCTGGTATCCCCTACGCATACAGTTCACTCTACTCGATATGGCGTCCGAAGCGGGATGGGAGCCAGAACGTCACGTTATCACGTGTATTTCTGGTACTGAACGCCTAATTTGGGCCAAAGTAGTAACGGTCACCTCTAGTCCGACGCGGAAGACGGTGACTGTCGTGATTCAGGCGTTTACCTGGTCACACAAAGCGTGGAAGCGCACCTTTGAGCAACACGGTCGCATGCTCGAGGAAAAGCGCATCTGCGATATCTGCGTGCGCCTCGGCAAGTCCACCGCCGCGGCGAATCCCGTGTACGACGTGGTCTCGCGTTCCAACATCTTCGGCAGCCTTCGTCCAGGGGTCATGGGCGATCACGTCGTCAATTTATTCCATGCCAATCGAGCAATTGGCACGAGCGACGAACCATACCTGCGTGATTTACCGCCTCCCTATGGCCAACCCCGCTCATTTCTCGTTAGCGGGCGTTCATTGACCCTCACTCCCGATCAGGAGGACGCATTACGCATCGGCTCCCCTCGTGGCTTTCCATACCGCATACGGGACAGGGAAAACCCTAGTGGGATCTATATTCGCGGCGTTAAATTCAAAAAGCTCCAAAAATCTTACCATCGTCACCACCTCCACCAACGCGGCGGTGGCGCGGTTCACGGAGACTCTTCTCTCCTTGGACAATTTCGCGCACCCCAACATCGTGCGCCATATCTCCGACACTGCCGCCGCTGACAACCAGACCCGGACATCGGTGAACTTCGGTAAAATCCTTCGGACCCTTGGCGACGACTATGAGGAACAGCTTCACATGAGGACGTAGCCCTGCCATCAATTCCAGGAGTATAGGGAGGTCATCGAGAATTATCTCGGCCACCCGGAACTGATCCCCAACATGTCGGACGAAGGCCAGGAGGAGTACGAAATAGTGGAGCGTTATGTGTCGCTAACCCTTAAGCGGATGGTGAACATAATGTTTACCATACGCCGTCCTCCGATTATATGTATGACGACAGCATCCCTCTTAAACCCCACTGCTTCGGCTGGGATATTCACCCCGTATTTGACCGAATTCACCATCGTAATCTGTGATGAAGCTTCGCAAATTCCGGAGCCCACGTTGCTCGCAATAGCCGGACGATTAACCCACACTCGCCGCGTATATATAGGGGATGTCCACCAGTTATCGCCCCACTTCAAATGCCCCCCTAACTCCAGCCCTGTTCTCCACGAAGCGCGTAGTGTAATGTTTCTCATCTTACAGTCTTCTGCGGTATCCGTGGCCCCTTATCACCACCTTTAGGTCTCATCCGGCCCTCATCGACCTCCCTAATCGCATAGCTTATGCCGGACAGCTCGATAGTGGTACCCCAGCGCAGTCTCGCCAGATCCTTTTGACCACCATGCGTTTCCCTGCGCCTAATATTCCATTTATGTTCGTGGATGGGAAAGGGGAATCAGCTCAGGCGCCCAGTAGGCCCTATTATAATGAGAGCAAGGCCCAACCCTGCCAGCAGCTCCTTGTGACCTTATCCGCCTAGGGATTCTACCCCGTTATATCTGTGTCATCACATTTTATAGAGAACAATATCGACAGATCAAGCCCAACCTGGACAGCCTGAACATGGAACTTACGACGGTCGACTCCGTTCAAGGGAGAGAGAAGGAGGTAGTCATTTTGCTTACTACCAAAACTGATTTCTCTCCAGCACCCGCTGAGTTCCTCAACAACTACCGCCGCCTGAACGTAGCCGTCTCTCACTGTAGGCATGGTCAGATCGTCTTTGGCCATGCTGAGTCGTTAAGGAAGGCTCCCACATGGAACACGCTATTACAATGGGCAGACTCCATCGGAGCGGTCGTCCCAGAAGATGACCTACCCAAATATCTACAGCGCCCCCTCTAGCTTCCGGTAAGAAACTTCCTTTTTCCTTTTTTTTTGATGTACTTTTTAGAGTCCTGGTCGGACTTTGGGTAGAGGGGGGAGGTGTGAGCCGCGCCGTGCAAGCGCGGCTATCAGCTGACGATGTTACAAGATGACTCATGATGGTATTTCAGGGCGGAGCCGTGACCGAGAAGAAATTCAACGGGGAGTCGACTACAGCTCGCCACCGAGGACGGCGGCCCCAGGCTTTCTATCTCTATGGGGCGAAGCCCTGGCCACCACGAATNATTGTTATGTTCTATGATTGTTCGTTATCATGTAATTTATTAATTCCTATTGTTGCACGTTTGTATTATTAATGTTATTAGGATAAATTATATATGATTTGACGGTTTTCTAAAGAAGCAGAGAATGAGCCCGCTTCCCCTGTGCGCGCGAGCTCACTGTTCTCGGAGAACAGTTCCCGCTACCCGCCTGTCGCACTAATTTGAAACAGAATGTTCTGGGAGTAAATTGTATGGCTCTGATTTTTTTTAAAACTTAGCCACATTCAACACAAGTACTTCAATACAGATGACTGGATGTACAACATTAATGATAATACAAACTAAAGAAGTGAGGGAAGAAGATATGTGTTTCACAAACTGATTCCGTACATGCTGCTTCTCCACAAGCATAGGTAGAACAGTTAACCGTCTAATGGCCTCAAAACTGGACAGCGCGCTAAGTTCGACGAAGGTGCCTAGGTTTTCTTTATCATACCCTGTCTCGCACCAAATGGAACCAATCTAACTCCTAGCTGATTGAAAACTTTACATTGCATTTATTTCAGTGTTAACCAGTAGCAGCGAAGCAGATTCCTGATTCCTTCTCCCCTCTTTAAAATTTTAACATATTCACGCCGATGGCAGCCCGGTGAAAATGTAGTTGGGGGGGGGCCACCTATCACAATGTCGGTATATCAAGAAATGAACTCAATGAAACGCGTTATGTCGTGTTTTATCACGGACATGCCAGTTTTTAAATAAGGGCTCTCGTAGGGAGGGAGCACCGCGGTGGGCAAGTTTTCTTTCTTTTTTCCTTTTTTTCTGCAGGAGGTGATCATCCCAGCCACCCAGGCGCTCCTACCCTACCTAGGCTTATTTGGGAAACTAAATTTCCTCAGCGGAAACCGCATGAAAGAGCTAAGCTGGTCGATTCCCATCATGCTCTACGCATCCGATACAGCGCTGATATAACAAGGGCTAACACGTGAGACTGAATTCATTTCTTGATATGCTGGCTTTCGGATGGGTGCCCCCCCCCCCAACTACATTGTCACCGGCAGCCCATATGGGCTGCCACATAAAAATTGCCTTTAATTCCGTTATATCATAATCTTTCGGAATATTCTCGGAGCCATTGAAATAGTCAAGGGTTAGCCTACGCCCAATCCCCTGTCGGCAAGGAAAACGTTGCAAGGTAACAACTTTATCCAAACAATTAACAACCGCTGTTTTTTCATCTCTTCTTCATAAATCAATTACGAGTGGAGTACTCCAGGAGCAAAAAGCACCGCTGAACTCAACTCGTCGAGCTGTATAGGCTGATACCCCGCAGGGTTGAAAGTGCTTCGTTTCGGATGCATGCACTTGAGTTCCACCTCAAACTTAATTGCATCTACATGGGGTGCAGGCTGCAGTGCTTGTAATGGCTGAAGAATGAAGTATTCAGAATCTGCTTTGGGGTGAGCCATATACTCGGCTTTACTCGGTACAATGAGAAAATTATTGATCGCTTTCATTCAGTCTCCATAGTTCATTTCTAATTTGGAGGCTGTAGATGACTGCGTTCCATTGAGAATATGACACCGTTTTACGGCACAATAATTAACTTGATTTTTTTCGACATTTTCTAAATTTTGGAGGGATTCTTCTCCAATCTGAGGAGATGGCGTTGAGGCACTGTATTATCGTACACAACCCTTTATTCTCTGCAAGAATGTTATGGTACACTTTATCATAGGTCGGAATTTCTCCCTTTCTTATGGCGCCAAACTTCAAACTTCGTCAAGCCTAAATCATAGATTATGTTTTTCTCCCTTTCCTTGATCTTTGTGCAGCTGAGTTTCACACGGTTAGATTCCCCGTGAAAGCTGCTATCGAATGGTATATTGGTCAACCCGTGATGGAATCCTACCTTCATAACCACTTCCTGCCTATGCCTTTCTGGGACGGTGGCAGCATATAGGGGCTGCCACTGCCAGTGCAGCGAATAAGGAGCCCGTCTGTGGGGAACGCATTCGCGTAATGCGCGCTCGTCGCGGATGTGTTATTTAATATCTTGAGACAAAATTTATGTTCTATAAAGAGAAAGTAGTCACATTCAACGACTCTCATTAGTGGTATAACCTTGAAAGTCTCTACTCGAGCTGAAACCTCCATTTGCTTACAAGCTTATCGCTTTTCATCAAACTCAAGTGGACACCCGAAACAAGTATGTACAAAAAAGCACCATCCATTGAATTTCATGCGTGCGGATTATAAAAAACTGCCAGCACATATTAGGGAACTGGTGGAAGGAATCGGAGACGTGCTGATCTTTTTAACAGCTTTCATGCCTTTTAGTACATCCGGAAAGCAGATATTCGGAAAACGTCACCACTTTCCTTATATTGGGCTGTCCAAAAACATTCCGCCGATTTCTGACATCCCGGATTTATCAACCACTGTACAAAAGATCAAGGACCCGACCGCTTGGAGTGATATGTTTTCTGAAAGAGCAGGTACTCCTCTATATTTGTGTTAGGATTCTGTCAACCTTTGTCGAATTTTGTCAGTACAGGAGTTGTATGAAAATGGAGAACTACTGCGCGCATTTTCGACATCTGGAGTATTTTTTTTGCCGCAAGGCCTAAAATGCGGCTCAAGCCGCATGAAAGATATATAACGTTTGAATAGACCATGCCCTAGAGGAACGTACAGAGCATGACTAGTTTGCGGAATCCAAACAGAGTGAATTTGCCTTCGAAGACCGGCAACCCTTAGGGAGACTATCATCAGTTTAAACGATCAACTCAAAATGTTAACCGAAGCAAATCGGCACATCACTGCTCGGAGCAGGACAAGGGCTTAATCTTTCAAATTTAACCATCCATGGCCATCTGCAGACACTTGGCTTTGTTAAGCGCCTT